GGCCGGCGGGGAGGAGGACAAAACGCAGTTATTTGTTATGGAACAAAATTTATAAAGAAACCCCAAATCTCACCTTGAAATCCCACGGCTTGTTCCCGCTTGCTCTGCACGACAGAAAGCTTTAAATTAGGGGGAAAAAAGGCAAAATCAGTCCGGTTTCTCGCACCGGGGCAGCTGGGCAGTGGTGACGGAGCAGGGACAACTTTGTGTCCCCATCGTTGTCCCCTGAAATCACTGCGGCTCTGCAAACAGCCAAAGGTGGGAAGCTCCGTCTCTTCCCACCTGGGTCTGGGCAGATGCCGGGATTTTAACATCGGCTGCGGGAGCGGATGCTGGGAGAGCTGTATTTGAGGAGGGCAGTGGGGGAAAAAAAGGGGGAAAATGGTACAATTCCCTAAAGGTTGGGGCTTTTAATCCCCGGCCTCCTTCTTTTAAGGGAATGAGAGTTCATTTGATCCCAGTGGAATTCCAAAGGTTTGGATACGCTTTACATGAGGGATTATATCCTGGCGTATCTCCTTGGACTGTCCTCCTTGCTGGCTGCTGTTTTGGTCACTCTGTGCTGCTCTCCGGCCCACTTCTCCATCCTTCCATCCGTCCGGAATGCCGCCAGGAAGGGGGGTTTGCTCAGGAATCTCGGGAAGGGTGGGATGTAGCCGTGGGATGCTCCGTCCCCACAACCGCTGCTGCCAAATGTCAAAAAACCGGCTCAGATTCTCCCTGGTTTTGTTTCTTTTTCCCCGCTTTGGGAAAAGCCCAAACGCAGTCCCGCGGTTGTCCATGAAATGCAACCAAATCCATGGTTTTCTAAGCTCTCTTTAAACCTTTTTAAAAAAAAAAGAAAAAAAAAAAAGAAAAAATTGCCCTCTCCTCCATCCCCTTCCCTGGATTTTACTCAACACCGGGAACAGGGGTGGATCCAGCAGCCGAAATGCCATCCATCCGGGATGATGGAACGCTGGGGACTGGCTCCGGGATGTCCTGCACCAGGAGCCACAGCATCCCGGTGGGGCTCCGACTTCTTTGCACGGCTTTGGAAATTAGGTGGGATTGATGGCGTCTTTCATCGGTGTCATTTTGGGGTTGTTTTGGGGTTTTTCTTGCATCACCAGCCTGCAACGGGGGGAAAGGAAAAGCACAGCAATCCCTCCGGAATGTTTCCTCTCACGCGGGAAGAGCAGTGCAGAGAAATCGCGGAAAAGACGAGCAAGATCTAAGGGAAGCAACAAAAAAAGGGAAGAAAAAGGAAACAAACACACATAAAAAAACCCAACCATTTTTGCCCATGAATCCATCCCGGATTCCCACATCCGGCGCCGCGGGATGCAACGCGGGACCCGGCTCCCACCAGCAGCATTAACTTCAGCGGCGCCACGATGCGGGGCTCCATTTGCAGGGGGGACTTTGCTTATTATTTTAGGGAGGAATTGGGAGTTATTATTATTTTTTCCGTCTGGGTAACTATTCCTTATTTCCCCATGGACTGTAGAATCCAGTAAAACCCCTCCTAATTTTCAAAAGACAACGAGAAGAATGACAATCTTAAACAACCAACACCCTCCTTTTGTGCTTCTATAAATATGTTTCTGATCTTATATAATTTTATTTCTTGTGCTCATCTGTACTGTTGACAGTTACAATTGTGTATAATTCTTTTTTTTTTAATTTTGGATTTTTTTGCGTTGTATAGGGTTTAGTTTTAAAATATATATATTTTTTCCATTTTTTAAAAAGGGGTGTTGCAAAAACAACAAAAAAATTGCACGGTTTAAATGACAATAGTTAAAATGCTGCAGTTTTTAGAGATGTGGAAGCAAAATGGAGCTTATTTATTCTCAAAGGCTATAAAGGTGTAAAATGCATGAAGAAAAAGAAAAAAAATACAAAAAAAAAGACAAAAAAGTGTAACCTGAACAAAGTGTAGCGTTAAAAAATTTTAAACGATGCCGACAACAAAAAAGAAAAAAGAAAAAAAAAAGAAAAACGGCTAATATATTGTGTTTGGGCTAGTTTGCTTTTGTTTTTAAATGTTCCTTTTTTGGAGAATGAAATACAATTGTGTATATTTTCATATAAGAAGTATGCACTGATATGTTTCAAAAATGATATATTACTTTCTAAAAGTGTGGTTACTTACCAAAGTCTGTTTCTGATCTTTCACCTTCCCAAAGTCTGCGGATCCTCGGAGTCGACGGCCTCCAGGGCTGAATGCAAACCCTGCTGCCGGTGTCAGTGGGTTTTTTGGGAATTTTTTGCTTTTCTTCTTTTGCAAAATTCTGCAAACCTAAGGCTGGTTCAGGCTCTCTGTATAATTGTGTTTTGGGGGGGAATTTGGGTGTTTCCTCGTGGGAATTTGGACGGGCTGGTGTGGGAATTGCCTGGGGCTTGCAGCGTTTCCACGGTTCAGTATTCCCAAGGGATGCAGGGCAAAGATGTGGCAGGCTGGACAAAACCCAAGGCAAATTTCCCCCATGAGGGTCCACTTGGAGCATCAGCATTTGCCATTTTTGGGGAGAAAAAGGGCAGAAAGGGTTTCACAGAGGCTTGATCCTGCCTGCTTGGAGTGATGAGGAATGGCTTTCCCTTGGCATGGGAAAAGGGAGCAGAGATGCACGAGAGGCCTCAAAAGAGCAAAATGGGGATTTTTGCAGAATGGTATTTGCAGGAAAAGCTCGTGTATGGCATTTTGCAAAAAGTGGTATTTTTACAAAAAGCAGTATTTTTTGTGTTTTTTTTTTTTTGCAAAAGCAGCCAGCAACAGAGAAAAAAAATCCACATTTTGCTTGAAAATCCCCCCCTGCCTATTATTATTATCACTATTTTGCATTGCTTTGGTGAAAGAATTTACTTTTCTTCCCTTCGCTGCTGCTACTTCTTCCTTTTTTAATGCGAAATCTCAGCCCCTAAAACGAGTATTATGTTTTTGCTACCTCCAGTGCCCGCAAGCCATGCCTGGGATGCAAGAGGGTCTTTGCCCTTTCCCCCCTCTTTTTTCTCCAGAAATCCTGTCCCTTTTTCCCCTTTTCTCTCTGCTCTCTCAGCTATAGTATTTTCCCTGGCTGCTGTAACTGTAAATAGCCAGTTTCACTATGTTAGCAATGGTAACAGTATGGGGGGGGGAATGTTGTTTTCGTTTTCGTTGTTGTATTGATATGAAATGAGATTATATTTTTGTCAGAGTATGTTGTAATAATACCGATTTGAACACAGCCAGGACTGTATTTCTTGGGTTTTTCCCTCTCGGCTCTTCCTGTGTCTCCAGCCCCCACATCCCTCCTGGTCCTTGATGGAGCGGAGAGTTTGGCCTGAGTGAAAGGGCAGTTTTTCAGCAGAATCCCCCCAAAATAACCCCTAGGGGTGGCTGCCGGGTTGCAAAAATGACTATTTTTTTTGCCCCAAGAACGATCCCTTTTTTAATGCTATTTTCTTTCAGCCGAATTCTCCCTCTGTCCCTGGAACTCTGATAGAACCCGTGTATGCTGAGGCATAGAGTAGACCATTTAAAGGATGCACTAAAAAAAATAATATTTAGAAAGAGCATAATAAACAAATAACTCTCCCCAACCTACCCATACTGCGGTTAGTCAAACCCCTTATGTGTCCCAGCCCATCCGGATGGTCACAGGGCAGCCCTTGTCCCCTCCCGCCCCAGGATAGAAGTGACAAGAAAACATGAAAAATAAAGAAACGTGCACTTCCCCCTCGGTAGTTTTATTTATTGTTTTGAGAAGCAATTCAAAAATAGGCTGTGTATCTATAAATATATATTATATATATATTTGTAGCTTCTTTTTCCCCCCGATGCTGCTCCATGTATGCGTGCGTGTGTGGGTGGGTGCGTGAGTCACGGGATGCTGCACCCATGGGTGGTGGCGACGCTGAGCCCTGGCAAACTCACATCACGAGTTGCCCCTCCGTTTGGGGCCCATCCTGCCCCCATCGACAATCAGCGGCTCCTTCCATTTTTTTTTTTTTAATATTCCTTTTTTTTTTTTTTGCTGTATAGTGACACGTTTTTTTTTTAAACACAATAAGGGGAAAAAAAAGATTAAAAAATAATTACCATAAAAAAACAAATCTTACGAATTTTGTTTGAAAACTCACTTATATTTGTTGTAAAGAGGTTTACTATTAAAAAGGGAAAAAAAAATACACGTTTCTGATAATTTGCCTCCTGCTTTTTCTTGCCTACCCTCTCATCCTCGGGTCGGG